GGATGAGGCTGGCACCACCCTAAGGAATTCGCAGTGTTTGCTTGCTGGCTTGGGGAGTTTAGATTCAGTCTGGCGAGATTCTGTCTTGTAGGCGGAAGTTAGTAAATGCAATAGAACTGTATCTGTACTGTCTCGGGGAGTTCTTTGGGCTGAATCCGATATCAACCTCACCACTGAATCTAAACTCCCCAAGCCAGCAAGCAAGCACTGCGAATTCCTTAGGGTGGTGCCAGCCTCATCCTCTTCACCTTCCCACACTCCTTCTGGGGGCTAAGGAAATGCTTATCTCTCCGAGCGTCGCCTTCGCCATACCATTCCATCACAGCTCCTGGCTCAGAAGTTTTAAAAGGCATTTGTTTCTCTCCTCACTGAGCAAAAAGGTAGAAAACTCTCAGCTCACAACACAAATCCCTCCTTGATTCCCTGGGGGAATACGCTCCACTGTCCAGCATTTCTTGTATTTAAGTAGCCGTTGGCCAGTAAATATTGGTCATACCCCAGGGTGGAGAAGTATTTTTCCATCCAAGTCTGGTCTTTACCAAAACATAAAGGGAAGACTGTGGTGTCTTGCAAAAATTCAGTAATAAAAAGAGAACTTTGAGGGCGTCTGATCTAAGGCAATAGAATGTGGAGCTATTTCCAACTCTCTCACTCACCGTTCTGCTAATGCTTGATCCATCCCTTGAATAACGGATCATATATTTAAGGGGAAAATATTCAGGATACAGCCAGGAACTAGGAGGTTTCCACTGCACCAGCAAGTTCTTTCTCTTCCCTTGGACTGGGGAGACCATCACGTTTTCTGGAGGATCCGGCTGGACTAAGGAAAGCGGAGGAGGGAGTTAAACAAACGAGAAAACCACCCCACAACTGGAAAAAAAAGCTGGCCATATAAAGGTGTGAGCGATAGTCTTGGTGTGGGGATCCCAGCTGCTTGTCAATGCCCAGTAAAACTGTCAACTCTGCTCCTGAAGGAGGGGCAGAGAGTTTTATCCATTGTCCACCAGCTTGCTCATTCGCCCTCAAGGAAGTCCTGATCGCCAATGGGGATCGGGCAAATGGTTAAAAAAAAAGGTGGCATAAATACTTGCGTTGCATTCTAATGTAGAGTCCTCCCACACTTGCCAGGAATACCCACATTTATTTTCTGTTTGCTCTAACCCAGTGTTCCTTAACCTTGGCAACTTTAAGACCTGTGGACCTCAACTCCCAGAATTCCCCAGCCAGCCATGCTGGCTGGGGA